ATGTACCTAACCTAAAACAATCCTATATACAATGATTCACTTCAGTGCTTCAGATAAAACAAACAAACACGCATGTAGGATTGCAAAACCAATTCGTGCCATTTGTTTTAACAATCTAGTGTACCATTGATTTTAAATTGACCTTTTGACAAAGTTTGAACAGTCTGACTATATAGGAAACCAATAGAAAGACAGACCTTTTTCACTCACATATAAACTCAGGAACCCTAAGCCACATCTAAGAAACAAAGCTCTAACTGCAGCCAAAGTTCAATGGGGTGTCTCTCAAACACACATTCGTCAGAGAGACAGACAATTGCCTAACTATTTTTCCCTGAGATACCAGCAGCAGACCTTAAGTACATAGCATGGAAGTATCATGATTAAAAATGACCTAAAATGGAGTGAAGAAAAACATGAATCAATAATCCAGTGGGTGCTATGAGACTCCATCCTCTTTAAATCAGTGTCTCCTCACTGATCCACTCTGGATCAAGAATCTCCCGAATCAGGCTAATCTCTGAAAGGTAGGTTCATATAGTTAATGCTCTTGAAAAAAAATCAATATTGAAACTTATTTATCTGCCTTTTATACTACTTTACTAGATATTATCCAAAATAATATAGTTAGATTGAATTAATCATGATTTATCTTGATTGGTCTGATTCACTTGGGAGAAAAATTTTAGTGAAGATATTCCTCATTTATAAGTTGGTCTGCTTAATGTACATAACTGTTCAAAAGTTTGGGGTCAGTAAGATTTCCTAATGTTTTTTTTTTTTAAATGAAGACTCTTATGCTCACAGTCTGGCCACAATAAATTAAATCTCTCATCAATATCAATGTGATGGCTGAATAGACTTTGAAATGGTAGTGCATACTAACTTCTGTACTAATATATCAGCAAAACAAGATCAGATCAGCTGGAATGAGATGGGAAGCAGTAGTGCATTCATGATGGATGGATTTCATGTGGAGGATTCCAGAATAGTTTGGAATTGGTGGAAAACATATCTGAGACAAAATCAAAATAAGGATAGGAACAGTTGGCCAAATATTTTGACTTGAGTTCCAGAACTTTCCAGAAGCTTTGTCACATAGTGGAGCTGTGTAGCCAAGGGTCCTTTGGTATTTCAATCCTACCATTGAAAAAGTGCAAATGACTAATTTTGGTGATCATCCCAGTTTATTTATGATTGGAAGAACAGCCAAAACTCATGAAAGATGAGCTTATTACAGAAGCAGCTAATTGGTGAGAAAATAGGCTTTGAAACTGACAAATTATTTCCAGTAAAATAGAAGACAAAAGGAACACATTTCTGGCTTGGTACCAATAAAAAAGTAGTTGACCTTTACTGATGTGGTTGTACAATAGACCAAAACATGTTGGGAAACACTGATCCATAGGGTCTGTGTTCACAAGGAAGCAGAAGTGATGCTTGTGGGGAATGTTGGTTCTCAAGTCATGAAAGGCATTAGAGAAATGAGAGATGTAAACAAATACAAATGAATGGACATTGACATGCTGCTGCTCATTACAAATTAATGGGGTGAGAGGCATGAGGTCACAAACAAGATCAGGTCACGCTACCTGGACGTGACAGGACAGTTTTTGACAACTGCAGCTGAAGCACTTCCTGTCGAAGTGAGCCTGCTCACAGTGAACAGGAGGAAGAGACAGATTAAACTACTCACAGATCTTATTTGAGATCAGTTTAACATTTCAAGTTTAACTGCAGGACATAACCAGCCAACACAGAACAGTAACTATTGCAGTAGCCTCAAATGACTTCCCTAATCGTTCAAAATTACAGCCATATTGAAAAACACCTAAAATGGTGTGCTGGTCTCCCAATCTGGTCATACTTACAGGGGTTGTACAATGAAACTGAAACACCTGGTTTTACAACACAATAATTTGTTAGTATGGTGAGGGCCTCATTTTGCATCCAAATACAGCACCAATTCATCTTGGGAATGACAGATAGAAGTCCTTCACAGTGACCAGTGGGATTATGAGCCGTTCCTCTTCCAGAACAGTGTCCAGGTCACTATATGATGCTGGTGGACTCGCTTCTCCAAAACACCTCAATAATATTTAGATCTGGTGACTGTGCATGTTCAACGTCACTTTCATCTTCATCAAACCCTTCTGTCACAAGTCTTGCTGTGTGTGTTGGTGCATGATCATGCTGATACACGGTTTGAGCATCAGGTGCTCATGATCCTCCAGAAGGGTTTGGTAGTCCTCGGCAGAGTCGTGTCCATCAAATACAATCAGGATTGTCATGATATTGGAGCTCAAACCATCACTGATCCACCTGTGCTTCACTCTGAAGATTGGCCGCCAGGCATATAGATGTGAAACCTCCAACATTGGCCAGTGTTTCAGTTTCATTGTCCAACCCCTGTACATGGTTAGCTGGTTGTGACATTTTTCAGCTGATTAGGATGGGAATTTACTTTGTCCACCAGCTTTCTACAAACAACAATCTTAAAAGGATACCCAAAAAAGAAAATTCTGTCATCATTTACTCACCCTCAAGTTGTTTCAAACCTGTATGAGTTGTTCTTCTCACGAACACAAATGAAGATATTTTGAAAAACAATGGGAACTTTGTTACCATTGACTTCCATAGTATTCTTTTGGAAGTCAGTGGTGCCAAAGAACTGTTTGATTCCGATCGTTCTTCAAAATATATTTATTTGTGTTCAGCAGAAGAAAGAAACTCATACAGGTTTGAAACAACTTGAGGGTGAGTAAATAATGACAGAATTCTCATTTTTGAGTGGAGTATCCCTGAAACCAGTGAAGACCAGAAAACCACACAAGATTAGTTTAACCTCTTTTGTTTGTTTTTTCCAGCCAGGACAAAACACACAGAAATGTAATCAAGTGATTTGACAACTTTAAAACAAAACTCTTCAGCACTCATCACAGTGAATTATGTCACGAGAAAGACTAGGGTCTTTTATAAAGTGATGAAAATGTCCTGGTTTTCAAACAACTGCTGGGAAAGATCAGCTCTACAGCAAAATATAGATGAGAAAATGAGTAGGATGAGGAAGAAAAACAGGATAACAATGAAGAGTATTATATATAGTCTATATATATATATATATATATATACACACATATATCTATCTGAATTTGTGTCTTGAATTTTTGTGTCAATTTTCTATCCATAGAGGAGGCATAACCTACTTTAAATGTACTGAAATTAATAAGGCATCTTTGAGTAAACTTCGAGTATCATTTGAGTATCTGTTTGCCGGGCAGACTGTCCTGGTTTTTGGTAATCAAAATATGGTCACCCTAGAAAAACCCGTTTCTACCTCTATGAATGCCTGGGTGACGAGATAAATGCAGGTACACGCGCACAAATCGTGCTTGCTTGCTTACACTGCACGTGACGCTGCTCTGCACGTGAACTTAACAAACAAAAAAGTGTTTTTTAAAAAAAGGGAAGACCTATTGTTCGAGACGAACGTTTCAATGTTTAATCCAAAATTCCTGTAATACACCACGCGTGAGTGGTCCTGGAAGGCCCGGTTTTCGTGGCTTCGTAACACTTGGGCTAAATATACACGAGCCGGCATGAGCTGCCTTCACCTGTCATGCTGCTGACTGAATAACCCTGACAGTCAATCACTCTGCTTCTATCCTTACTTCTGAGGTAAAGGGAACACACAGTTCCCTAAACAGTCATAGGTAAATATTTAAATATTATTTACTCATTTGATTTAGTTTATTTATAATTCAAGTTTTTTGACGGCTGTTTCTTGAAAGCTCAGCTGTAAGGTGCTGAAATGGTTACAGTTACAGCCACATCAGGAAGACTAAATCAAAGCTATTTGGGTAATGCCTGGATAAAATTGTAAAATAATATGCATCATTATTTCAATATTTTGAAAGAGAGAGAAAATAAAGTTTCCAGCCGGTCAATGTCATCCAACCAAGCACTGATTTTACATATCACCCTATTTTAAAAGGTTACATTATTTTCTTGTTTTAACATAAATGACACATTAGTGAGGTTCATTCTTACAAGAAAAAAACCCAACGGTGTAGGAACAATAATTCAAGAGAGATTGAAAACGCCTCTTTACACAGTTTATGCAAGTACGATGATATTGTTTTCAATATAAATGTGTAAGACAAAATATATTTTGCCGTGTGATAGTGTTATTTTACTGACTATGACAGCAGGTGTTACAGATAAACTCACCCTTACTCGAACTGTTCCCACCTCGTTTCCCCTTCTTGCTTCGTGGCATGCTGACGGCCGCTCCAAACACCAAATGACAGATTATAGAGAACACACTGTACACAGTAACCTGTATATAAACAATCCCAGTGGAGAAATCCTGTCCAGATTATCAAAATACTGTGATGTGCAGTTTGGCCCCACGTCTCAGGTACCACAATCTAACTTAAGGTGCATCTCGCACCGAAATCAAAATAATACTTAAAATTCTATCTTAGTTTTAGTATATATTATCTATGGTTGTCCCCGGGTAACCGATATCTAATACCAGGTTGTGATGGTAAATGTTGTTGGAAATGTTTGGGACGGAGTATCGTGCACGTTGCTGCTTCAGATTCCACCATCTTCCCATCGGTAACGCTCGCACACCCGGCACGCTCCTCCTCTACGGAGCACATAGGAGCTCGGCATTAGGGGTAATGTAGTTCGCTGTAGGAATTCCAACTGGCTTTATTCTATGACAAAGGTAAAATTGAGAACTACATTTCCAACAATGATCAGCCATTTAGAAATGTTTGGATTGCACAGTCTGCAGAAAAGTTACAGCTTTGTAAACTTTTCTGCTTGAAAACAATGAGGCTAATCAGAACTGTCAGTATACCCTGACATTTGGTTTTATGTCGCTAGTAATTCTCATATAATGAGACCGTGGTACACGTCACCGGTGTACAACATCGGCCATTAAAATTCATTCACTCTTTAACAAGTTAATTATTCACAATATCAATACCCACTTTTTTTCTGTTTATTAATTTACTAAGATTAATCATCGTAAAACGTTACATGCTTTACACCCAGTTCCTTTATAATAGTCAAGCTTATTGTCTGCAAATAACCCACATCTAATATATTATAATTTATTTTTAATATAAATTATTTTAAATCATAGTCCACAGTACAAACAGTATTATCACTGTATTACTATGTTACCAATCAGGTAAAGGTTTATAAAATTCTATAAAATAAAATAGTATTATTTAATCACATCCCAAACAGAATTTAAATGTTCTTTCAGACAGAAAGGTTTCACACTGATGTGGTCTGAAATTAAAAGATGATGACATTACATCATAATAAACTATACCTGAGGAATTAGGCACTTTTCTAATATCGCAGTATATATCTAATTCAGACTAATATTGTTAATTATCTTATTGTCTATCATAGAACTATAACACTAAAAAGTACACTGGCATAAAATGAACCAGATGTGTAGAAAACTTTTTAAATGAATCTTACAGAGTTCTCTTTAAAACAATTTCACCTTCCCACATTCTCCCATTTTAAGTGCTCTATGTTAGACACACACACACTAACAGCAAGTGGTCCTATCCCACATCCAGAAAGTCCATTTGATTTGAATTCCTAGTGAAGTGGCCATACCGTTGTGCAATTATTGCAAAATGTTCTGGAATGCAATTTACAGTACTTGAAATAACACAAAAGTAAATTGTGTGTTTAAAGTTTGCATTATGGAATGCTCAATGTTGACGTGTGTCTCAGGCTTTACATAACCTCAAATTTTGGTTTCCATTCCAGTGCTAATCCAGTGCTAAATACTTCCAGACAGATCTACGACAGACCCTCTCTAGGTCTACTGGCCCATGTAGTACTTTGTGGGCACGAATGGCATCTTGCTGACCACTGCTGGCACTGCTTTTTTCCTCACTTCCACCTGGATTGATGTGCCCAATTTACTGAAGCCAGTTTCCACATAGCCCATGGCAACATTTTGCTTGAGGCAGGGGGAGGGGCATCCACTGGTGACCTCTCCTAAAATAAAGTGGACGGGAAAGAACATCATATGGGTTTGGAAAGACATGAGGGTAAGTAAATGATGATTTTGTTATGGCATTATGCCATTTTAAATGTTCCTAATTTTGTTTTGGAGGTCTGATATAATATGTTTACATGCATCCAAGGTAAAAAAAACTCTTTCATTTTCTCTTTAACAATTTAATATACATTGCAGCATGCCCTCTTTTTTCACAGTGTCTGAAACAGTTCAATAAAGGATTTGGACTCTTTAAACTGCTCCTTTCCATAAGCCTACTCTGCTTTGATTGGTATGATGAACCAATCTGTTATGGTTGGTCTACCATTTACAGCACATGTCAAAAAACATTACTACATCAGAATTCAGCGCTTCCCCTGTACTTACATAATGATACAAACTCCGTATTAATGGTGTCATCTTTACTATATTAATTCAAGCCCGAGTCCTCATCCTATGGAAGTGCATGCAAAGTGAATTTGCATTCTCATCTTCTCAACATGTCATGAATCAAACTCGATGGTGGGTCAAAGTAGACATTGTCTGCGGGCAGCTAATGAAGACTTGGCACAATGCAAATTTATTACAAACCTACACAGGTTCATGCAGAAACTATGACTAAATTCTAACTTCGTTTCAGGCAGTTCAGAATCAGTTCTTTCTTTTGAGAGACAATAACTATTGTGCACTTTAATTTTTGAAAATTAGCAGACCTTTCACATTCACAAACAGCTATACGACACAATACATGAAGGTAATATCTGAGAAAGCATAATACTGGCACTTTAAACACAAATGCATTTGTTACCTATAACCCTCCCATCAGTTGACAGGATGGGTGTGTGTTGTCTGACAGGTGGTCCAGTGGAGATCAGTCCCACTCTCTTTCTCTGAGTCTTTGCCTTTATTTGTGGAACAATGATGTCAGCACCAGGGAAATCTAGTGCCTGTCGACGGCGCTTACCTTAACACAAACCAATATGTTAACAGCCAATACACTTTCATGAGAACTGAAAATAAAAGTCTTTACGCACCTATAGTCCAGACAAGACTTGCTTCCACAGGTGTGGTGGTCTCATCAATGTCATTGCCATAGAGACAAAGTCCTGCCTCCAGCCTGAGACTATCTCTGGCACCGAGACCAGCGAGCTTCACCTCACTATTGGCTAACAGCTTTTCAGTCAGCAAGACAACGTCTCCAGATGGCACCGATATCTGAATAAATCATATGTACAGACAAGAAATGTAACTTTACATGTATGTAACAAAAAATAAAGACACCAAGCGTTGCCAAAAAAGTTTTTAAGACTATCTAATTATTTATGTTAGATAATTTTTTTTTGATCAGATCTAATATTTCCTTCATTGAAAAAACAAAATATGAGATTTGGCCTTCTAATTACTTATAATAGTCGTGTTTTTGGAAAAAAAAGTATCCTATGCTCACCAAGACTTTTGATCAAAAAAACATTAAAACAAAAAATTGTGAAATGTTATTTAAAATAACTGTTTCAGAACTATCAGAAAACACAATTTTCAGAGTTGGTGCTCAAGTAAAATTTCTTATTATTATCAATGTTGAAAACAGTTGTGCTTCTGAATGGTAGTAAATAATATCAGGATAGTTGTCCTACAATCAGATGGAGATCACACACACCTCAACTCCATCCTCCCCTGTATAACCGCAGCGTGTGACCCTGCAGCCCTGGATGCCAAACACTGTGGTCAAAACACTGGTCATAAAGGTCAGCTTCCTGAGGTCATCACCCACACCTTTCTGCAGAACCTGGGCCATTGATGGGCCTGGGTACATATAGATAAATATACAATCAGTCGAATGCCTGAAAATGTACATCATACATTCATCCACGTCCATCACCTTGTGTTGCAGCATGATAATGCACGGACCCACACACCTGTGCAATAATCATACTGTCTAATCAGCAACTTGATATGTTACAGTGAGGTGGATGGATTATCTCGGCAAAGGAGAAGTGTTCACAAACACCAATTTAGAAAAATGTTTGAGAGAAGCAGGCCTTTTGTGTACATAAAAAAGTCTTAGATCTTTGAGTTCAGCTCATGAAAATTGGAGGCAAAAACAAGTGTTGCATTTGTAATTTTGGTCAGTATATCACAGAACCACAGCTTACCCTGCAGAGCAATGAGACTTTCTTCCATAAACTCTAAATCTACATCATGACCCGCTGATTTAAACTCCTGCAGTATGGCCTACAAACAAACACAAACATTTGAGCAAAAAACACATAATTAAAACACATAATTAATCCTAAATAAACATTAAACTACATTAAAGAATCAGATTCATACACACTACTATTTATTAAAACTGGAAGTGAAAAAAATGTTAAGGAATTTGGCCCTCTTGTGGCGTTTACGGTTAATATAATCTTTGCAATACATACATTACATTTTCAGTCATTATTAAAAATATTTAAATGCTCATCATTTGATTGTGATTGGTTGATCATGGCATTTTATTTTCATGAGCTTTTACTGACCTGCATATGAGCAGAGTCTTTGTCTGCACAGCCAGCATTGGAGACAACATACAGGTACTCCTGATCTGTTTTGGTCACAATCAGATCATCCATGATTCCTCCTTTAGTGTTTGTGAAGAGGGACAGAGTGCCCTAGGGAAAAAAATGGTTTTGATGACTAAGCAAGTTGTATTGTTATGTAAAGCTGGTGTGTACCGGTAGCTCTTAGTGTAAGGGCAAATAAAAAAAGACCTTTTTGAGACCCACAAAAACCATGGAAGTTACAAGAAAAAATAATGATGTGCACACATAATTCATTTATAATATATGAAGAGTTCAGATGCAAAAGCCTCAAAGTGCCATTTGAAATTTTCTTCTAGAATGATAATTTTTATCAATCTTGTATATTTAAGTTCAGTGATTTCACTTAAATGGCAATGATAATTACCTATTAATTGTTATTTAAGTGAAATTACTGAACTTAAATATACAAGTTTCATAAAAATCATCATTAAAGAAGAAAATTTCAAATGGCATTTGGAGGCTTTTGCATCTGAACTCTTCATATACTTCAATATTACAAATAAAATTCCATTAAAAAAACAAGAATTATACATTTTGATTTCATTGTGACTGAATTTGCGGTTATTACCACTGTGTGTGCATCATACCTGGTTGTCTTTTAGTTCAGCAATGTCTCCAACAATCAAAGACTCCATAAACTTCACTCTGTCTCTACCATAGACTTTAGTCTGAGGAGAAAGCAACAAATCCAACACATTGAATGAATATTGGTACTTTAAACTGATAGATGTCCCACTTTTTTACTCTATTAAAATCAGCATTGGGTAAATAAATAAATAAAAAAATCACATGGATTGGTCTACATACACCTACAAAGGCAGTCCTTTGAATGTCTACACACTGACCTGCAGCATGTGACTGACATCAAAGATGGAGCAGTGCTGGCGTGTGTGCATGTGTGAGTTAATGTGACTGTCTTTGTATTGCACAGGCATACTCCATCCCGCAAACTCCACCATCTTACCACCCTGAGCCCTGTGGAAATCATATAGTGGGGTCTTCTTCAGTGCCACCTAGATACAGAGAAAAAGCAGTGCAAATAAATCATTTAGGACAAAGACAGTTAACATTTATTTAATTATAATAAAAAAGTACAATATAGTTTTTTAAAAACTATAATTTCCATGAAATCTTATATGTTGTTCAGCATGGGTTTAAAAAATAAATTCCACAATGAATAAGAGATCATGTGTGTGATACTAAAGCAGCTTATGATCTAGTACTGTGACCTTTGACCTCAAGGACTGGCTCCTGCCTATGCGTCCAGCCACTCACATCACATTAGGCCACATTAGCTATTGATAGTTTACGAAACCAGTCCAAAGTCAACTAAGAAGTCTGAATGAGAGACTAGGACACTATCTGATCTACTGTGTGTGTGAGTGTGTGTGTTTGAGCTTTTATCTTTATTACTTTAGGTGTCACACACTGTTTAGAAGTTCAAGAAAATTCAGTCTCCCGTCACCCTATTGCCAGTTAAATGATTTTAATATGAGTTTTTGCAAACAGTACACATGTAGTTTTCACAAGATCATGTTATTTGAGATACTAAAGGGAATATGTTTGATTAATTTGTAACACAATGGGATCACTGGAAACGAACTAGCAAAGGCAGAAAGAATAGCAGAGCATGATCTAATACAATTTCGTATTTAAGTTTTAACTTTAAACAGGCCATGGCATGTACATCTGTCATACAAAAAAACTCAAACTGCGCTATTCATTGTCTGCGTTTTATGACGTTACGGGGTGTACCCATAAGGGTGTTCCGTATAAAATAAAATATTGACAACTGAAGTGAAGTGAACTTCTACTTAGAATGCAGAGAGAGTGAGTGAGTGAGAGAGCAGTGAACACTCCGTAGGGACCCTATTTGAATAGCAGTGCATCGTTGTGTTTTTCAGTGATTCAGAGTGAAAGCCGCGAGGACCCTGAACGGATGAACGCTCTCGTGCTCTTAATTAGCGCAGCAGCTCGCACTGACAGCAGATGCGTGTTCCTCGTGCATGAACTGTTAAAAGCAATACATTTAAAATAAGAATTACTCTGAAATGCACCATGCAAACTTCCCCATTATACATCTTTAGTCTTTGTTCACGGTTTTGCAAAGACTTGTTTATTACAAGTAGTTAGCAGATGATTTTGATGATTTTTTGCCAAGTACCGTGCATACCTCTGTGGAAGCTTGTCTGTTTTGCCTCCCCTTTCCCCCCAACCCGACAGTCCGCGTGGTTTCCCTTGAAAGTCGGTAACAGAGTCCGTTTGCAAAAGCCCGAGCAAGCATGTTGTGTTTTGTTTAGTTTCGCACCAACTCTTCAAAACCCAGCACAGGGAACACGACCTCAGCACGTTTGAACTCGAATCTCTGCTTTCACTGCAAAACAAGGAGCGTGCCGTATGAAATCAGAGAATCCTGGGAAATGTAGGCTAGTTAGAATTCCTGACGTGCACGTGCGGTTGTGAAATTCCCACAGCCGACAAGAAAAATTTATATTAGAGGTGACAAAAGAGGTGGTGACCCTTATAAACAAACAAATATGCCATTGGCAACATACAATTATTTTATTTTATCTATGAATCTGTACGCACGATGTGAATCAGAACTCGTTCTAGTTGTAGGGAACTAATTCGCTAGTATGTGAAAGAATTTCTGTCATAGTTTTTATTCTACCCCAATACTAATAGAAGAATAATGGATTTCGATCTTTCTCTAACGCTAGCTAATGTCAAAGTTTTAATTCGTGCTGTATCACAAAATATACACAGCCTGCATGTGACTGAATGATTATTTGGCCCCAAATCTATAAATAACCTCTCTTCTCGTCCATGAGACTGTAGCTATTTTGGGCCAGGGGATTTTGAGCTGTGTGTAGAGGTGCCAGGCGGACGAGAGGAGATCGTCCAAATCTGAACGGCTTTCTCTACCTTTTCTTTAGTGTTTGTCAACAACGCAACCACGAACAGGGGTCTTCTAACGTTTTATGACGCCAGTCTGAGGGTAAGTTTATATACGCACAGCACAGGCATCAGTTTACCATGTTAAAATGGTTTAGCCTACTAGAAATGTGTTACGTATCTGGGCCATAGCAGACATCAAAAAGTTTACATGAATTCACCCGATCTCAGTTTAATCTATTCAGTCAATATTAATCTGACACAATCCGAATGAGTCCTGGTTTAGTGTAATATGATGAGATGTTTGGTGAATGCAGTGCACTTGTGTTTACTGTCTTTATCTGAGGTGTAGGGAATAAGGGGTTGAAAAGACTAGATTTTGAGTGGCATTGTGTCAAACAAACAATTGTCCCTGTTTGTTCAATACATTGGAGCATATCACTGCTGTTTCCAGGCTTTGAAAACTAACAACACAAGTTACATGGATAGTCATGCATCAAAGTTGGCAAAATGTTTGTGATTTAATTATGTTAAAAAGACAGCACAATTACATCACATAGGTAAATAAAGCTGCAAAACGATACGGCACAATTTAGTGTTTATTCATCATGGGGTTGGAATATGTAGTCATGAACACATCTAAATGTCTTCCCTTTATTTGTTAGGAAGAATAGTTCACCCAAATTTTACAATTCTGGCATCATTTATTCACTTCATCATTTATTCAGAATGTTGGTTGACATTATAGCCATAAACTTCCATAGTAGGAAAAAATAACATTGAAGTCAATGGCTACCATCAACTGTCTGGTTACCAATATTCTTTAAAAAAATTCTTTTGAGTTCAAAAGAAAAATAAAACGCATAGTTTTGGAACAAAATAATGAGTAAATGATGACAGCATTTTCATTTTTGGGTGAACTATCCCTTTAATGGAAACACAAAAGGAGAAAATTTGAAGACTTTGAAGAAATTTGTTTCCTTGCAATTGTCCCATGAAATTCCAGTTACTGTTATAGCTTAATGGAGCACTTCAATTTCTGACATAAAGTTCACATAGGCCTATGACAAAGCCATACGGACCATATGGGGCTTCTGTGTCTGTAGCCAGTCCCTATTAAATGTATTTGCGGGCAATATTTCATGGAAAGAAAGTCATGAAGGTTTAGAATGGGATGTTTTTTTTTATTTATGTTTTTGAATATTTAAATCAGGTTTGCATTCTATCTGTTTCTCTGTAGTGGGAGTGATCATGAAGTCCACTCCTTCTCCTCCTCCATTATTTGTTCGTGTCAGCGAGCGAGACCTGACCGAGATTGAGCTCCATTCGGTCGAGTCCATCAATGACCTGCACCGCACACACTCTGAACAGCACAGCAAAGGTATTTGTATGACTTTAAAATCCTTGTTGGTTTCGATACAACTCAAAGCTACCTCTCACTGTCAGGTGTTCAGCCACCCCGTCCACCACCACCTTCCTCCAACGGGAACCTCCAGATGCAAGATCGGGCAGTTGTCTATCAAACAGGTCAACCAGCCTGTATGAGCCGACTGAATGACATTTGCACTTCCACTAGACGACACTATTTCTTAGCATGTGCAGCCATCATTGCGTTTCTCCTCATTCTCATTCTTATCTTCAGTTTTTTAGGTGAGAATATCTGTTTGTTTTGCTAATGACTGTGTTTTAAGGGTAAAATGAAAAAAAAAATGTTTGGGCTTCAATATAAGTTAAGATCCATAGACTGCTTTTGTGGAATAATATTGACTTCTACAGAGACCCTAAGTGGACACAATAATGAAAAAGAATATATGAGATGGGAGAAAAAAATATATTTCAATGCTTTTGCATTCTCTCGCAAAAGTATTGTGTTCTCCCGAGAAACTATGCATTTTTTACGGAGCCCCTAAAGGGACAAAAATATGATGGTAGAAAAAATGATGTCAATGCTTTTGCGTTCTCTCTTTCCCTGAGGAACTTTGAATTCAGAAATTTTGTGAAGGAATGCAAAGTTTCTTGGTGGAACACACATTTTTTTTTGAACACAAAGTTTTTTGTTGTTAAAGGGTTAGATCAGTGTTTCCCAACCCTGTTCCTGGCGGCACACCAACACTGCGCATATTCTTTGTCTCGCTTATCAAACACACCTGATTCAACTCATCAGCTCATAATCAGATGGGTTAATGAGCTGATGAGTTGAATCAGGTGTGTTTGATTAGGGAGACAAAGAATACACGCAGTGTTGGTGTGCCGCCAGGAACAGGGTTGGGAAACACTGTAACGATTAGATCAGCCAAAAATGAAAATTAGCCAATGATTTACTCACCCTCAAGCCATCCTAGATGTGTATGACATTCTTCTTTCAGACGAATTGAATCAGAGTTATTTTTTTTTAAAATGTCCTGGCTCTTCCAAGCTTTATAATGGCAGTGATAGGCTGTATATTTCCTTCAAAGTGCATCCATCCATGATAAAAGTGCTCCACACGGCTCAGGGGTTTAATCAATGCCTTCTGAAGTGAAAATATCCATATCTAAAACTTTATCGACTAAAATAGCTTCCGGCAGATGGCCAGACGCATCGATTTACGGTGGAAGACTAACGCTTGACCTTGACGCACAACATAATGACGAACATGGAATGTGTGAATTTTCATTTTTGGGTGAACTTTCCCTTTAAATTGTCAAAATTACTTTCTGTGGTAATCCTCATTCCACTGAGCTTTTTAAACACATTTGAACCTGGAACATTAATTTAGAGGGCCTGTTAAACTGTTATTTTACCAAATAACTTGTGTTTTCTTTTACTAACCCTCCAGTCCTGCAGAGCAATGCTCTCCACACACTTCTGGAGATGGTGAAACAGAAACAGGAAACAGCTGAGGAAATCTCCCAACTCTTACAACAGCTGCAGCAGAGCAGAGACCATAAGAACATATCACTCAACAGCAGAAACAACTCTCCACTGTGACAATACTGAGAGAAGAATAATCAACTCTGATTATGAGTCTGCTAATGATCCAGAACTTTACATCAATGTGTGTGACTTTCTGTCTTAAAGGCTTCTATTTCTCTGCTGGAATCCATTAGTCAATTATCTTGCTCAAAAACATTCACTTGTCCTGTTTGTGGAGTTTAAACAGATAATATAGTGATTTAAGTGTTGTTGTTTTTTTTACCGATATATTTTTGTACACGTGTTGGCAACTTGCACATTAGTTTCACTACAGCAAATGGTAATACAAAACCACATTAGGAAATTTAAAAAGGATATGTAAAATATATTTTAATTAGTCCATCACTGTAAACAAACATATTAGATTGTGACATAAATCATGTTTTGAATGAGCAAGAACATTCACTATGGTGAGTGCTTTTGAGAGCACAATGACTGTAAATAGGTATATAGACCATGATGTTCTATTTATGAGAAAAAAATAATTTAAAAAGAATTAAAGAGTAAAAAAGAAATTCTACATGACATGGCTCTTACATTTTGCACTTCAGAGTTGACATGAAATCAAAATTGACCCAATTTACTTTTAATTATGTCCCTGGTCTTTTTGTTTATGATTTATCTGTGCTTTTAAAATGACTTTCTTTTTCTGCTTATGTCACTCAGGCCATGGGGTTTAAGGTACAACAGTCAGGTTCCAGAAGTAAAAAACCCATTTGTTTTCCCCAAAGGAACTTGTAAACCTTTAAAGCTTAAACCTTTGTAAGCTATGTGTTTGTTAATTGATGCACTGTGTAAAAAGAAGAAAAGTACAATCAACTTTAATGTATAAGTAATTTCAACTTAACAGTACATTAAACTGGCTTAAAAATTATTTGAATTTGTATAACTTGTACAACAAGTTAAAGTTTACAGTGTGGTATGTTTTTGACATTTTTAACAGCGTGATTTCTGGTGAAAAACTACATAGCTTATAATTCTGCGATTAAATCTCCACTAAATCAGAAAATCAAACAAAAACATCAGGGCAAAAAACAAACAAACAAACATTTAAACCAAATCCATAAAGTACTGCGAATGACCAAGTATAACCAAGTCTCCCAAATCCAACTACTTTGTTTTTATTTCAATAATATAATTTACAATGCTTCATTAGATTATAGTTATTTTCCTCATTATAAAGCTGTTGTACACAGTCTTGAAACTTTATTTTCAAATACTTTTTTTGCTTCAAATTATTAAGTTGTGCTTCATCTTGTAGCATGTTGGTTTGGTTAATAGCTAAAAACGTTTGAACACTTTTTTTAAAAATCCCTACAGTAAACAAAAAAAATGAATGAAAAAATGAATGGGAAAAATACTTCCAGAACTGTTGCACTCAATTGGATCATATTAATAAACAGCTAAATAGCAAATATTCAAATCTGACTCCATTCTGGTATGTAACACCCACTTTTAACCATCTAACCAATTCCTGATTGTCCCACTCTACATCTCTTAACTTATAAATGTCACATTACAGAAATGAAAAATGAAATGGGTTGCAAACTGTTCTTAGAAATTATTTTGGTCACATTGTTCTCCGCTCCATCCTTTATAACACATGCACTTGAACTTTGACCTCATGTCGCTAAGAGCTTCATGGGTATCAAGTAGAGGGATCATGTAACCTGAGTGAGGGTCCAGACGAGCACAGCGTCCCTGGGCGTTACACATTCTTTCGCTGCAGTTCCTCACACTGGCCTGCAGGGCGGTGACATAGTCTCCTAATACTGAGCCTAGGTAATCACGCAAGAGGGCGCACTGTCGCTGGAGAAAGACAGAAATGTATTATACTGTATATCATAACAGCTCCAGCAATGATGAGGCATGTATATAGAATATTATACATTTTCAGTCTGTATATATGACAGAACTTATTTCATTAGGTTATCACACAGTGGTAAATCCAGACCATAAACTTTCACACACAGGTTGACCTACTGACCTTGGACTTGGCGAAACTCAGCTCGCCCCATAACACAACTCCAGCAGCACCTAAAGCAGCACTCTCACCTAGTGTGTGCTCCAAATCCGTCTGAAAAGATAGATACACACATATTATGATTAAGTTTCACACAGTAATATAGTTTTTAATGTCAGATCAGCCTAAATTAAGACAAGCTTGAAACGAATGTATGAATGCTTTAGAATGAGTCAGAGCACGTGTTGTTGAAATGTTGTTTATGAAATAAAGCTGAAATACAATAAAATATGAATATAATTAAATGAAAAACTTAAACCAAATGAAAATGAGATGTTTGCTTTGCAAATAACTGAAATAAGTTAAGCACTATAATGATAAACTGAAATTAAGGAAACTACTTAAAAATGTTAAAATAAAATGTAAATATTATATGGAAAAACTAGTACTAATATATATATATATATATATATATATATATATTAAATGAAGCAAACAGTAAATAAATTAAAACCATTTAGAAATATAAAACAATAATTAATGACAACTACTAGAATGTAAACTAAAATTAAGTAGAAATTTAAATAAAATAAAAGGTAATATATAATAAATGATACTACAATAAAAGGGGTCAGAACTGAGGAATCACAAATTTTATATTCTGTCTGTTTTTGAATTATGTTCATAATCTCGTGGCCTCAAGATACTAGATTTTTTTTTTTTTTTTTACAAAGTGAGACTAGAAAATTATCATTTTAAATGGATAACCATTTTGAAAGTTTGCTAAAACTTACATTTAACAGTGTTAATATTTTTTTTTTTAAAAGATTACCTTTGATTGAATCTATCGCCCCCTTGAGTACAGACGTTAGTTACAGTAACAAAAATGCATGCTATGTTTGTAGAGTAGCCTAATGCATTCTCATGCACTTACAATTCATTAGCCAAAAATTCACATACTTGAGCTTGGATCTGGGCTAAAGGAGAACCATCCACTTGAAGATGAGGATGAAGTGAGTCACTATTACTGTACTGGGAAAAAGCTCAGAACTAAACCCCCTCCTCTTTCAGTGTCTATTCTGGGTGGAGGTGAAGTGCCCACTAATGCATGATAAGACTGGAGCTCGGAGCTCTGACCTTCACAATGAAAACCACCATGTGGAAAGCTCAGGGTGTTCTTGTGTAGGTACCTGATTCAGGAACATTAATGTGTGTGTGAACGCCACTCTGGCGTAGGGAAAAACAGGAAGTGCTTCAGTGCCAAGTGAATGCTGGGATGCCACCCGGAGGGCTTCAAGTACACGATGTCTCACCATTAGTTGAGCATGTGTATGTCCTGCCAGCTTACGCCACAGATAAATGCTGGGATACAGGGCGGTGGAGTGTTGCCATAGAAACGCCAGTCTATCATTCAAAATCGCTGTGCCATTGTGACACTGCCCCGTGTAGCCGCTTTGTCCTTGGCCATGATTGTTATAGCAACCGGGAAACCCATAAAACCCCCATAATCCCTCTGGGCAGAGGCGAACACCAAGGCGAAGAGTCTTTTCCATGAATGCTCTTGCTGCTAATTCAAACTCAGCCTTCGCCTTGGATTTCACTTCCTCCTCTGACATATCTGGATGTTTCCACCTAACCAGCTTTTTCGAAAATTTCCGATATGCAATTCTGGTCCCGAAGTTCCACATCCATATGGGCTGCCACGCCTCCCAATCTAGCACAGCTAATCCGCTGAACATCTGTCTCAACACTTCAATGATCTGCGCCTCAGCCAATGAGAGATGAGCCTTTAGGAATCCTTGTTGAGGCAGGCCACCATTTATTTTTGACCCCTGACGGTTGATGTATGGGTAGAGGCCCAGACGACGCTGATAAAATATGCTCATATTCTGACCCTGAAATCTCTGCTGTGAGTTATGTACAATGTTGTACTGGCGCAGCGGCAGGGAGACTCCGTACCGACGCTGACATCGAGCTGTGGGCATATTCCATATCACTGAAAAGCCACGCCTCCCGATGACAGACTCCGCCCCCTGAACCACATTCTGAACAGGGCTGCTGAGAAACAAAATGGCTGACAGGGCTAAGGTGAGGATGGGATGAATCGAAGATCTCAAATGCATGCCTGTGAAATACACACAATTAGTGTTATTCATTTTAAATGACATACCTTGCAGCAAATAATATTGAGTCTGGAACAATTCAAGTTGTGAATTTAGTTTAAGAAATTAACTCCATCATTAAGAACAAATACTCCATCTAAAACTGCTAATGCTTTAATAATTATTTGTACATCATTTTTATCATCTCATGAGATATTTTACATGGAAGGTTTATACTGTAAGGATGAAGGATTCTGGCTTATTTTACACAATATGAGTTTGAAACATAAAATATCATTACATTTTAAAATATATTTATAAATATAGGAAGTGTGTGTGTGTGTATATGAAGAGTTCAGATGCAAAAGCCTCTAAATGCCATTTGAAATTTTCTCACTTAAATGACAATTAATAGGTAATCTTCATTGCCATTTAAGTAAAATTACTGAACTTAAATATACAAGCTTGATAAAAATTATAATTTTAGAAGAAAATTTCAAATGGCATTTAGAGGCTTTTGCATCTGAACTCTTCATATATATATATATATATATATATATATATATATATATATTATACAGATTTATTGCAATATACTTCTTATTACTGATATATTTAAAACTTACTACAATATTTATTTTTGTATTATACTGTATGTTTAATATTTGTGTCATAAGTAACACTGTTTGAGTTGTTGTATAATCCGGCACAAAGGGAGGCACTTCCTAATTTCGTTAAACATGTTTATAATGACAATAAAGTTTATCTAAATCTAAAAAAAAATATTCAAATAGAAAAATAGTCATTTTAAATGTAGTGATATTTCACAATATTACTGTTTTAATGTATTCTAAAATGAGCAGAGAGCATGGAGACTTTGACCCCAATTGAGCACCTGAACCCAAACTTTTAAACAGTCGTGTGGATTTTAAAATAAAATCGCAATGTTGATAAAAAGCAAATGCCCATAGAAATATCACGCATCAACAACCCAACCTCAAATGTGGTCCTAAATGACAAGCACAAAATGTGAAGTTATACTGTTTTTATTTTTATTTTTTAAATAACCATTTGAAAGCAACACAAAATCTCAGCATATACATTTCCTTTAGATGGTTGTGATAAAAGATTTACCTTTCAATTCAATCATTTTTTAAAACATTAAAACAAAATAAATAACAGTTGACACAAAGTAAACTCTGATTAAGGCAGATTCAGATTGTCACAGTATTTCACAGTCAATACAGTTCCAACAGGATCTTCCTTGAACCTGTAAACACTGTTTGTGTATCCCTGAATAATGACAGACTGAAGGAGTGTAGCCTGAGTTTCAGATGTCCTTGTGCATCCAGAAGATGGGCAAGCCTCGGTTGTCTGTGTATGGCGTTTGCTCCAAAGTCTGAATTACCGGAGCCCAGGATGACGGAGGACAAGATGGAGGAGGTGGAGGAGCAGATATAGGGGGAGGACAGGAAAGTAGAGGAGGAGGAGGTGGAGGTGGAGGAGGAGGTGGTAAAATAGATGGTGCAGGACTGCTAAACAACTTAACATCACTCTTCCTCTCTTCCTCTTCGTTCTCTGTGCTTCTACAGAACTTGTGCAACACCTCCATAGGCATGAAGGAGGCCAGCGTCCCGACACTTTGGACAGGTTTGGACAGCACAAACTCCAGATGGGCATAGAAGTGTTGCTTATCATGGGTGGTTAGGCACAATCGGGTGCAGCCCCGTCCTTTGGCGTAGCGTTCAACAGCCTCCATCAGGATACGCCCGTACCCCTTCCCCCGCAGCATGTTGCACACCACCACCGACTCCACAAACAAACTACGGGTCCCCAGAACACGGGACAAGCGGGCGTGGCCTATTAGCATCTCGTCTTGACTCCGCCTCTCCCCCTTCAGCAGCAGGAGACACACAGGATAGCTGTGGCTCGACTGGCGGAGCGAGTGAATTCGCGCTCCCATGCTGCGTTGCCATTGGGCATTGAGTAATTCAGCACACGCCTCCACTAAGTCCCAGCGCTCATGAAGAGGTTCGGTTCGAACTACTGCGCAGCTCACGTCGCCATCGCACCTGCACACACGCCAAGGACACGGGGTCAACACTGGGAGTGGCGCTTTTGAACAGCTTAGGAGTTATTTCGCAGTTTAAAGATGTCTTCATTAAAAAAAAGTTAATTTCTAACTAAATCGTGATGTTTCAAACCTATGTAATATTTGATTAAAGTTTTTTCTTCTCTGGAATGTTGTTTTGGACCCCATTGACTTTAATTGGATAGAAAAACACAGCTTTTAGTTCAAAATATCTCCTTTTGTGTTCCACAGAAGAAATTTCAATACAGGTTTGGAATCACGTGAGAGTGAGTAAATGACAAATTTCCATTTAAAGGGATTTTACACCCAAACATTACATTTTTTTTCCTCCGTTACGTGCCGTGCAATGCACAGAACAGAGGAGTATCATCCACTTGATTTATTTACAATCACTTATTATCTACAGTTATTTCTTTAACTTGTTGCAACCACAGTCAGTTGTTTTCAACGCTCAACAGTTCTCATAACATCACTTCCACATTTCATTTTCACATGCAGACTAAAGCTAGATTGATAAAATCATTGTAAGTAATTCTGAGCACTGAAGCGATAAACACGAGCAGAAACAATGGCAATGACCAATTTCATGAGTAGGTTTTTTTTTTATATCACATTTTCTTAGCTGAAGTTAAAATAGCAGAAACAGCTGTGGGTTTGATGTGTGGCTGTTGGGTTTGTCTGAATGTGTGATTCCTGATACGCCACATTGACTTATGAACTAGCCTAAAAAATAATATATATAAGATTAAAAAAATGTAGCTTTGAAATTTGTGTTCAAGTTCAGACACATATTCAGTATGTCTCTGAGCTATGCGAATTTGCTGGGAACCATCTAATATGTTTTCAATGCACCTAAAGAGCAGGGTGGGCAGTGGTCAATAGAAAACTGATATATAGGACTAATATAGCAGTTCATGACCCCAAATAAGCACACACACAAAAAAACAGCTGAAATTGAACAGAATTCTATTTTATGTTGATTAGTTCACAAATGGAAGCATGGTTGGTTGACCAAGGGGATAAGGTTTTCGGCTGATAATCACAAAAATATCGGACATATTATGACATACATAGGCTACTTAATATCACCATGCTGGATGGGTCTGAATATTTTGATACATATAAATAGCTAGGTGTCTTGTTAGACAGCTCTCTCTCCTTCCAGTCGCACATTAACAAATTAAGATCTAAACTTAAATCTATGCCTCCTGCACTCATGCTGCCAAACTTGCTTTGGCAAAAATGACTATCATTCCAATGTTCGACTTTGGCAATGTCATTTATAGAACTGCCTCAAACATTTTGCTAAAAACTGGATGTGATTTACCATAGGGTCATACATTTTGTTACAAATGCCCCTTACAACACCCACCACAAGGAACTTTATGCATTAGTCGGTTGGCCGTCATTAACTACTCAGCCTTTAACTCACTGGTACTAACTTATTTGTAACTTTCTGCTAGGCAGATTCCCCAGGTACTTAAGCTATCTTGTTAACGAAAACACAGAGAATAAAATAACCAGCCTCACCTGCGGTGCTCGGAGAGACAGAACTGCCAGTTAATGTTTCAAAACTATCTCTCATGCAATTGAGGGTTAAAATCAGGAAACAAGAGGCTTAAGCGATCCATTTCTCTGTAAGCTTCCTTTAACACTGGCCTGGAGTCAGTTTAGCTGGTATTAATTATTATGGTTTTAGTGTGGAGAGACTGGTTCTAGATCAGTAATGAAAGGAAACAGCTTTCAACAGCTTTTTTATCTTTAACATGACAAGTGTGAAATGCTGATGGGAAGTGTGGGTTTTTGAAAGGGTTGTGCTATAAATGTTTGCAGGCCCTAATATGGTGAGAGGCGCAGTAAAGCTATCTAAAGAAATTTAACAAGTCCAAGGAATTGCATGTCCATTTCGTCTGGTTTAGGCTACTTTTAAATCAATTGCCTTTATGCACAGCTGCGCTACTTCCTGAACTTAAGCCAGCTCCTTTGTTTCCTGTCTGCCATTATTGGACAAATTGATTAGTTCAGGTGTGCCTGACCTCAGTAGTCACGGCAACAATAATCAGACACACCTGAATTGATCAAGCTTGGCCAATAATGGCAGACAGGAAACAAGGAGCTGGCTGAAGCCTTGAGCTTTGGTTTTAAAATGAACCATATGATCCATTTATTTCATTCAGACTGATATCAGCTGGATGGAAACAGCTTTCCTCTCTCTCAAGTAGGGGTGTAGGCTATTCAGGATAATTGCAGAAAAAAAAGAATAGGTCATCTCAATGGCAAAAATAAGTGTCCCAAATTCACCAGCATTGATTCTCCAACGTGGGAGTCATTCATCGTCAAAAGCAAAGCGACTCTCTGACAAGAATTTAGGGGAGTTTTATTTAACATTTTGAAATATGGCAATAGCTTATGTGCTATCGTATTACGTTTATAAAAATGAATTGCTAAAATATCCTTCTTTAAAACAACATTAACAGCATGCCGCAACAGTCAAGAGCACAACACGACATAGCCAAGTCAGAGAAGTGATCAGATAAACAAACAGCAAGCGGTTAAGATTCAAGTTCGACTGCTTTTGAGAGACACATGCAATTTATTTTAGATTTAGTTTATATGAGTTCTAAACTGCGATACCTACATAATGAAAACTTTATCGCTGTCACATCAGCAGTCTTCCTCTTCTTCTAGTGGAGCAAATGTAACAGCACGAGTCGTTCTACTGCCACCTACTGGACCAGCTCTCCAGGTCTGCCCTCATAGACATCTGCCCTTCTCACACACCCTACAGTAGGCTACATAACTTTGTACGATCGATATTATTATTACCATATATATAGTTTGTTTTTTAATTATAATTATATCATATATATATATATATATATATATATATATATATATATAATCACATAAAACTTCACATCTTATGTCATTCAACAATATATATATATATATATATATATATATATGTATATATACATATAAAGGGCTGGACACACGGCGCTGGAGGACAACCTTGTGACAGGGACCCCGCAAGTACTGAATCATGCCGAGGAGCTGATACGTCCTGAAAATGACTACATTTTGTTGCAAAAGTGACAGAAACGTTGCAAGTGAACAGTTTCCTTGTTGTACTACACAGTATAAATGAGTGGGAGCACCCCATCTGACTCTAAAAAAATTAAACAATTTCTCTTTACCTAAAGACATTTCAATGTTCCTTCAACTTCCTTGAATATGTTCTAGCAAGTCTGGTACTATTATAAAAAGAAAAAATCTGTCGATATTAATAGGGGAAAATAAGATTTTCTTATCAAAAGTAAAAAAAACCACAAATAAAACTCAATTTTTGGTCAAGATAAAAGCCATTTTTGATTAACAGGTGAGTATTTTCGACCAAAACCTTTAACTAGGTGTCATTTCTTGACAGTTAGTGTTACATAGCCCAGTAAGTCATTCTCGGAGTAATGATGAAGACAATGGAACCAGTTGGGTAAGACTTGTCAGAGCATTTCTTTGCACAAAATGGCACAGGAGAATTACCAAAATATTTTTGAGCGTGAACATATAGCAAACAATAATATAGAAATTCAGAAAGAATTGACTTGTGACAAGTTCCTTTGAAATAACCAGGCATTCACTCCAGGCCTTCATTTTGCGATAAGTGAAGTTTGCCAAGAAAAGAGCAGGAGTTTTGAAGTGTCTCTTGAGAAGAATATTTTAATCTCACACAGTCGGACGCAACCAGACTGTTTCTAAACACAATTAACCTGTGATAAACTAGAGACAAAATGGCTCAGTTACTCAATAGAGCCCATTAGAAATTTGAAAACAATAAAGTGTCAATTTAATATTTGACTCTCTGGTAATTGTTGGGAAAAGAAAATGATATTCAATAAAGGCACATTTCCATCAACTCATTTAATGTAGCCCATGTAAGATAGTGTGTTTCAGAACACTTCCCATTAAAAAAATAAATAAATCCCCCCAAAAAAGTAGACACCCTGATTTATCCAAAGTTTATTAAAAGTACAATCTGTAAATGCTGAAACTAGCCAACCCTCAAAAGTGATAAACTAACAATAGCCAGCTAACGCCCTAAAGAAAAAAAAACACTCCATTCCAAAACACTTGTATGGTGTTTCCAATCAAAAGATTACAAACAAAACTGATTCCTGATATTTAAAATGGCACTGTTCCTGTAATAACAGACCACATCGTCCAACACACACACACACGCACGCACACAACCATTCACAACATAAGAGTCTAGCAGGTTACCAAAATGTCTGCTTTATTTATTTTTCAGGACGACTCATTCAGAAAGACTAATGGGGAAAATTCGCACTAGATTCGGCCTCGCATCCTCCAATTAGGGGGCGGTGTAACAGCAAGGCAACCTTTCAACAAAAATATGTAATAATAATAATAATACATTAATCAATACAATGTGGAGTTTAAGTAAGGAGAACGAGTCACTGTGGATACCACCAGCAAAAAACTTTTATGCACCAACAGCAGGGAATGAAAACAGGTCATATTTAAACAAGTTTATCAAAGCTTTGCATTGTCATAAAATGCTCTAAAACGTTAAATTTTTGCGCTTTTTTGCATTTTTTTATTGAAAGATATCAACTTTTTTCTTGTTTAAACATAGATTCTTTTATCTGGTCTCTTTTTCTTTTTTCTTTGTTGTGACTGCAAGTGACCATGAGAAAGGATGGGTCCTTGGCTAGGAATTTTTGGTGAAAGTGAATGTGTGTGTGTGTATGTGCGCATATGTCCTCTCCAGGCTGTGGTTAGTTCAGGGTCACAGCAGTTGAGCTGGTAATGCTTTTATTTCGTACTGAACAGCTGACGCAATAACAGGTGTGTGTGTGTGTGTGTTTGTGAGGTATGATTTGAAAGTGTGAGTGTGTTTGATGGAGTATGAGTGCACATAAAAAGGAATGTGTGCCTACAAAATGTTTCGAATGTATAACCTATGTGTTGTGTTGTATAGTGTGTGTGTGTGTGTAAGGCACGGCCAGTCTGTCTCAGTCCCTCAGGTCCACGCTGGATCCAAACAGAGCCACCAGCTGCTCCTCATAATGGGCGATATTCCTCTTCATGATCTCCTTGCAGGGTCCCAGCAAGCGCTCGAAGGCTTGTACATCAATCACTGAAATACATAAACATCAGTCATGTGATGTTGTATGAGCACTTGGCACACATTTTACTTCAAGACATACATATACGTCAAATGCCCACAGAGACACTTACCCAAGCATTTGATTTCCCCTATAGCATAGGCAGAGGCAGCACGTGGTTTATTAGTGACGAGAGCGAGTTCTCCGAAATACTGCCCTCTACTGCAGCGAGTGATCTCGACCTCAGTGTTATCCTGTCTGTCTGCTTTCGTCTGGGAGACACAGAAAGAACCATTTAAAAAATTAAATGTTGGCATTAATGAGGGAAAATTAAAGAAAGTTTTTACATGGCTACAATCATCAAGTAGAACTGCAAAATGTATTGGTTAGCCAAACAAATAGTCCCGCCCCAAACCTAAGCCATTGGTTAAGCAGAAGTCTCCAGCTAGTCAGACTCAGTATGCTACAATTTTAGGGGAATCAATCGAACAAATAAACAACCTAAACCTTTAAAAAAATGAAAATTGTACAATATAACAAATGTAAGAGAGAAAAGAAAGATAAAGAACTCACTTTACTCTTCATCATAATCTTCACTTCTCCAGACTCCACAATGTAAAAGCAATCAGCTTTATCACCCTGGTAATAGAGCAGTCCACAATAATAATAATGATTAATGATACAATAGCATAAGTCAGAGTCCTGATCTTCAGTTCTGCTCTATTATTATAGTGCTATAACTACACTTGCTGTGTGTGTGTGTATGTGTGAGAGAGAGAGCTGGTTCTTTTAGACATGATCAAGTATGTAAGATCTGAACAGAGGATATCTCAATGGTTCTCAATGGCACGGCCCACAGACTTACACAAAATTAGTGTGATTTGAAAGAAAATAAGATTAAATAATTAAGTTCTCATTAAGTCAATTTACTTTTGTATAGAACTTTCCACCATACACACATTTTTTCACAGAAACTTTACAGAAATGAACATGAATTTATCATAATGAAAATATTTACAGTTTATTATAAATATAGTCCATTTAGCAGTTTAGAGATAGGCGATAGTTTAAATATGAACAATCATTCAGATGAGATTTGCCATGTAGTATAGATATGCTTTATGGGAGTTCACTGTATGGCATTGTATTTATATATATATACGACGTCCTACTTTTTGGGGCAACTGCAAAGCTCACCTGCATAATGATCCTCTCTCCATCATGAAATGATTTTACACCCAGCACATCAACAATCTTCATCCTCTCAGATAACTATGAAACATGGGGTAAGTATTCATCATATGATTTCCGGTCAACAATGAATGCAACAATGTTCTTCTCTTTCTCCTAAAGTTTTTCTTCAATGTTTATTTCAGCTATACAACCCTGAAACTCTTTCACAGAACCAGAAAGCAACACATTTGCTAACAGAATAAATGTTTTTACAATCATTCTCTCACCTCCAGTGATTTGAGCAGTGGAACAGACTCTATGAAGATTTCATACACCCTTCTCTTCTTTGCATTATTCTTCACAACGAGTCTACGGAAAGTCGCCCGATCCTGAAACAGACATAACGTTCAGCTGAAAACTCAGTTGTATTAGGATCTGGATTTATGCTTCAGTCACACTTATTGTCATTTCATAATTGCTATGAAAGCACTATAAAAGTGAAGCAGCAGTCGTTCAGTGTTCTGACCACAAGGCGGCGCTGTTACAGAGCACTTTGTCCACAGGGTATGGCATGCTCTTTCACACACACACACTCACCAGTCCCCAGAGGGCTCCAGCCTCTGTAGCAATGATGGTTGCAGCACGTGGAGTGTTGTACATGAGGGCCAGTTCTCCGAAACTGCCCTTATTATTATACTGACCCACACAATCCGTCTTTACCACAATATCATACACGCCCCTACAAATACACAAAAACATACATTCAGTTAGTGCTGTGGTGGCAATTATATTCTTGCTACACTTCATTCTGATATTCTGACCTTTAGGTATTGACATTTAAAACGAGGAACATCACTATGGTTTAAGATAAACAATGTATAGGAATGAGCTTTTTTTTTTTTTTTACTCTCATCATAATCGATGATGAGAGTAAAAAAAGTTATTTTATCAAAACACTGAGTGAATCAACTACATTAGGGCTGCTTATAATTAAATAAAAATCACAGAAAATAATTGACAAACATGTAACTTTGCAGTAGTGAAAATCAGTTCAAAGAAGGTTATAACCATATTTAGATTTGCTTGGCCAAGTTGCCATGTCAAATGCAGTTTCATGTGGTTGAGATGTGCTTTTCACTAGGACATGGGATACTACTGTAATATAACATAATAGTACTGTAAAATTCATATGTAAATGTGTTATTAAAAATTCAAAATAATGCAAATGTTGCCATTTTAAATAAACTCTCCTAACAGCAAGCAAGTGATGCTGCTGTTCCCATTCGCTTCAAAGAGTGTGTGTTTATGTCCATAGACAGAGCTCAATTGTTTTCATCAAAACAACTAGTTACTGGACATTACATTTAGCTTTACGTTTAAACATGTAATGCGCTGTGCATACAGTAGGCAATGCAATTACATTTTTATAACATTTTTTCTTTTTTGCATTTGCTCATTATTAGAAAAAGAAACTTTTTACACAAAATGCTGTAAAGTAAAATGTCAGATTTTTTTAATCAACAACTGATAGATTAATCAAAGATTAAAATAAGGGTTTGAAATATAAGTAAAACATTGCACAAGAACACCATACACAAACTGGCAGGCAGCACACATAAATCTGTTTAATTGCCCCTATTATGCTATTTTAAAGGTTCCAGACTTTGTTTTGGACTTCTCCTACAATAGGTTTACATGCATTTAAAGTCAATTAGGGTTGTTCCGATTCCGATACTGGTATCCAATGCCGCCGATACTAATAAAAATTCTGGCATCGGTTTCGGAGAGTACTTCTACCCATGTACCGATCCGATACCCTGTTCTCAAACAATAACTAGATATGCACGATAGCTTTGTTAAATGCAGCAAATCAGAGATCAATTCTTCTTCGCTGCTCTAAACGGTGGTTGCTTGTGGCAACACAGGAAGTCGTGCTGTTGCCACGAGCAACCACTGTTTAGAGCAGCGAAGAAGAAAGTGCGTGCTAGCAGTATGAACGCTGTTTGGCAGTATATAAGTCTGGACCAACCAGCCAGTAAAACGGCGACATGTCTTACATGCCATACTGCAGTTTCGAGGGGTGGAACAAGATTAGCAGCTATAACAATTAATAAAGCATTTGAAGAAGCCTCACCCCACAAAACACGATGGAAAGGGCAGAGAAGGACGAGACGCGCCAGAATCAACAATTTCTGGAAGCTTCATTCAAACAAAGAGACAAGTTTTCGGTTTTTAATTGCCTATTCCGCATCTCAATGCATGCATAAAGCTTGCCACAAAGAACTGACAAAAGTAATGATTATGCATGAAACATTGGAATTGTTTATTAATAAACTAGTGTTTTCTAAAAACAGTTTATTCAAAGATTCAGGTGGCTTTCAAACTAGGCACGTTTGCTGCGGTCCGAGCACGATTGTTCTCCGTGCTTACTGTTGCCTTGGACTCGTTTCACACTCAACTTGAATCTATCGAACCCTGGTGCAATTGCGTTCATCTTACGCCATATTACAGACGTGCACGCCGCAAGAGAGAAAACAGAACGTGGCAAATATATTGTGTTTTTTATTAATTTGAAGCTATTATGCACAGCAGAGTAAACGACACTTGGGTTTACTGTATGTGTGTCGCATGAAAGCGGGATTCTGCTGCTTTTAAACAGAATATTTAGCAGAGACGGCAGATTGACATTAATTTGCTGCCCTGATTGCACTTGTTGAGAAATTACACGGCAGGTAAACACCTATTACCATATTTCAATTTCAGCTCCAGAGGCTTTCTCAGCACTTGATAGACAGTGATAAGAACAGTAACGATGAGGTCGGTCTTTATGTATCAATTCCAACATGAATCCTCATCCCATTGAATTGCATGCAAAGTCTCAACACGTTGACAACATGAACCAAACAAATGCAAATTTGTTTCAGTCTCAGCTACAATTACAGTGTATGAGTGCAGGTCAAAGTAGACGTTCACAGGTAGCCAATGATAATCACAGGCATAATAGAAATTAGTTATGTTGTTACATAGCCAGTAAAACTGGAATTGTTGACAACTGGTTTCGGCAGGTGAGAATCAATTCTTTCTTTTAGGATACAATTCAATTTATTGTGCACTTTGATCTTTGAAACTTTGCCGACCTTTTACATTCAAAAACAGCTATACTACACACTATATGAAAGGTAATATTTGAAAAAACACTTTAAAATACACACCTCTCGATTACATAAAAGTTATCCCCATCATCTCCCTGATCAATGACGTGATCTTGTGGCTGCACAAGAACCTCAAACATGGCGTCCAGCACCTCTGAAAACTGCTCCTGTACCAGAGAGAGACAAAGTGTCTGATGAAGGAAATGTGCTCTGAATAATATTGTACAGATTTATGCAAAACTACATATTTAATAAAAAATGTATATTGACAAGTTTCTTATAGTTCACACAACATCTAGACAGAGTGCAACAGAATGGAACAAAGTGTGAGGGTCCAGACATGTTTCTATTTTTTATCTTCGACATGCCATCTTAAAACCTCAACACTCATGGTGCACGATGCTGAATGAGGAAGGGGGGCGACAAAAGAGTGATATGCAGTTCTATGCCAAAAGATACCCACATGCAACTAGTGAACTACCGTTTAAGTGCAAAATGAATGCAAGAATGAAAAAATAATTTGACAGACATTCAACTTATTTCATATAAATGGCAATTTTCTTGAAATTTAGGGTTGAAGATTCAAGACAACTTTTCATTACAAAAGTTTTTAAGAGGTGAATTTATATGAAGGTAGATTTGTGTCTTTATTATTCAATCAAAAAAAATGTTGCTTCAATCAAAAAAAATATTTTCAATTAAAAAAACCTTCACTTCAATGAAAAAAAAACTTTTCAATCAAAGAAAAAAAGTATTTGAATCCAAAAATATATTTGAGACTCAAAAAATACATTTGAACACTGCTTTTCTTTGATTGAAAATGTTTTCTTTGATAGAAGTCCGTTTTTTTTGTTTAAAGCAACCTTTTTAATTAAAGTAACATTGTTTTTTGATTGGACCATATAATGGGTAGGACATTTGTGTCTTTATCATTCAATCAAAAAAGAAGTTGCTTCAAACAAACAAACAACAGAATCAATACAAAAGTCACTTCAATGAAAAGATAAACATTTTCAAATATAGAAAATCATTTTTGAATGCAAATAAAATATTTGAGACTCCAAAAATTGCATTTGAACACCTTTTGTTTTAATTGAAAATGTTCTCTTTGATTGAAGTAATCTTTTTTGTGTTTGGGCCATACATGGGTAGGACATTTGTGTCTTAATCATTCAATTCCAAAAAAGTTGTTTCAATCAAAAAAAAACATTTTCAATCAAAGAAAAAACTTTTCAAAAGCAAAAAAAAAATTATTTACCTCGTGTATAAAAAAAGTATTGAAGAGAATGTGTGTTTTCGTTGTTTTTGTTTTTTATTTGAAGTGAAAAAAATTTAGAATTTCAAATTGTTTTGATTGAATCCTTTATTTTTTTGAAGTGCAAAAAGTTTTGAAGTTCAAACTTTTTTTTGATTGAATCATTTTGACACAAACGTTCCGCAGTGGGCGGGTGCTTCTCTGTTGGTCAGACATGTTTGATTGACAAGTGTCTACACCAACGACATCTTTCTGACAAAGAAGTCATGTTCGCCACTCGCCAGCAGCTTTTTTAGAGGGGATAAAATCTTTGCCTGGCAGGGGGATCTGCTACTCGACCGGCCACGGATATATGTGCCTTATATGCACTGCATTATATAGCGCCTGCCACTCGAACTTACACAATATTTACAGTAAATGCAGCGCATATTCCCCGACAGAACGGTACGCACAATAGGTCAATATTCACCATTAACCAAACGCTTTTCACCTGCCTAGCCACAAGATTTCTCACTGTTTACACCTATCAGACACTCCTAATGGTAGGCCTACACGAGAGCACACATACAGTACAATACAGATCTTATTTACACATTTATCATCTGATCATATATTTTATTCGTTCTTTTTGCCCGTATTGGAGCGCGTATAATAACGTGCAATCCATCTCTTATTTACCTTTTTGTCATCTTATATTATATTTTATTTGCTCTTTTTATGCGTATGGGAGTGCGCTCGCATGGCTCTATTAAGCGTCGCGCCGGCCACACCAGCCACACGATCTCTCCATTTACACCTAATGGTAGCTACACGAAAGCACACATAGTGCAATACAGATCTCATTTACCCATTTATCGTCTGATCTTATATTTTAATCGCTCTTTTTATGCGAACGGGTCGTGGCTCTAAGCATCGCCAGCCATACCAGTCACAAGATCTCTTATTACACCCATCAGACACTCCGATTGATGCACATGTGAAAACAGACAGTGCAATCCTGCTCTTAAGTATCTTTTTTGTCATCTTATTTTATATTTTATTTGCTCTTTTTGTCCATAATGGAGCGTGCGCGTCACCTAGCGTCGCGCCTGCCACAAGATCTCTCACTGTTTACATGAGACACTCAGATGAGAGCAAATAAAGTCCAATCCATCTCTTATACCTTTTTGTAATTTTTTCTTATATTTTATTTGCTCTTTTTGCCCGTATTGGAGCCATCTTCGCAGTAGTGAACGCGCCGAGAGAAATGCTCATTTCATATGGATTAAATATAATCTGAGAGTAGAATAATATTTATTTTCGTTTTGAATTAATTTGTTTAAAATTAGGCTAGACATTTCTACCTTTCTAGATGTAGCCTATTTATCATGTCTTTGAGAAACGTGCAAAGCAAAAAGTTCATGATTTTATTGCTATGCCTATATGTTTGCTTTGCTTCTTATTTATTAAATCCTGGGAATTGGTTGATCAAACATTGATTAAAATCAAGATGCAATTTATTAAAAACGAAATTCACTTTAAAGAAAGGCTTTATTAAAAAAAAAACTTAATGGAGTGGTCAAAATCATTCTTCTTCAGAATGTCAATCGGAGAATCACGCAACTATGAGAAATATTGCGAAATCTTGTGACTGGCGCACCACGAAACGTGCTCCATTATGGGACAAACGAGCTAATAAAATATAAGATAAGATGACAAAAGGGTAAATAAGTGCAGGGTTGCGTTGTCTCTGTGTTTTCGTGCATCAATCGGAGCAGCGCCGGCCCGAGCCTTTTGGGGGCCCTAAGCAGAATTTGATTTGGGGGCCCCTCCCACGACGCGGAGTCACCTGTGTTTGACGATTATTGACATAAATGTCACGCAAAAATGATACATTATAAATGAATACACTGAGGTTATGTATTAATAAAAAAATAGATGCCTACTTAAATAAAAAAGTTTGAAAACAGTCTTAAAACTGTCTCAAAACATATACAATAAATTATTTGCTAAAATTATGACAAAACTGAGAAATTAGAAACGTAAGAGCAATGATACTTTGGCCTATCCTCCTGGGACCCAGGAATAGACTTTTGTCCACTGTAGTGGACATTATATTTTAGTGTATTTCTCTGACACCATGCATGTCACATTTTCTTTTCTGGATGTCCTGTAAAGAGCACATTCAGGGCAATACAGAGATGTTTGGAGGTTTCACCATGAAAACAACTTCTCCTTGGTCTTTAAAAATGTCTAACATTAATTTAGTGATCAAATGTAGCACTCTTATTGAAATATGGTAATATATTGTAATTATAATTTAAATCTAACTACTTTTCAAATTGTATTTCATCAACCAACATCTCATGAAAATGTTATGGGGTTTCAAATGAAAAAAATGACTTTCCGTTACAGGGCATTGATTTCATTCATGTCCACTGTAGAGAACATCAGGACATAAATCATGTTTATCAGGCATTCTGGGAGACATAACAAGTGAATATGTAAATAAATTATACGTCAATATTCTTATGACATATTAGATATTATTATTAAAATGTTGCTTATTATTACGCCAATGCTTACACTTCTTTCCTCATTAAATGTTGCTCCAAGAACACATTAATGTGCAAATTAGATACAGTGTATAGATACTTTGCATTGAATGGGAATATTAATTTATGCCAATCAATTAATTCCATTATATCTTTCATAACATAGTTGATAATCATCTTTATACAAATTTTAGTTCAAAAAAATCCTGAAACCCCAAAATGTATTGGTGATTGGAAAAAAAATCCCATTGTTTTTGCCTACACATTGTATGTCATTTAATTTTAACAACTGAGTCCTGGTGTCCACTACAGAGGACAAAGTATTACATATGAATAAAATATAATTTTTCAAAAAGGTTTTTTTTTTTTTTTTTACCATTTGTTTATTATGCTCTAAACAATGTGATGACATGAAAAAAAACTAAATTTAAAAAAAAAAAAACTTTCTGGGTCTCAGCTATTGTTGAAAACTAAAAATATTACTAGCCTATTTCTCAACTGTCTCAATACAGAGTAACTATCCTCAAAATCTTTATTATTGTTATTATTATTATTATTGTAACAGACTTTGTTATATAGTACATGACATAATCAACACAGTCTGTTACTATAATACCGGTTATGATGTTCTGGCGCTCGTTGTATGTGTGTATGCAATGTATTTTTCCCCTCGGGGCTTGCCGTAGATGGGTCGTGCGCACTTGCTAGGCTACTGGAGTGTCGCGGGTGTTTGGAGATCTGATGTGTGGTATAATAAAGTGGAGAAGAGTTCAAACTGCTATGTGTATTATTTATTCAAACTGCTACCCTTACACCTTGAAGGATAAGTTCTCCTGCGGGCTATTTTCTCCAACTTAAACCGATACCGTGACTAGCCGCAGTTGCGCACGAATTGTCTATGCACGCGCGAGGTGTCTAGAAGATTATGCGTATGACTTAAACGCTGGCAGACAGAGCAGCAGTTGTAACTTGTAGGCAGGTATATTGACCATTAAATCAGAATTTTGTTGTCTTGAACTATTCATTCAGTCATATTCATTCATTCTTTGATTTATGTCACTTGTTTAAGTCATCTAAAAAAATAAAAATAAAAAATAACCTCGATTAGGGGGCCCCCTGGTGGCCAGGGGGCCCCAAGCAGCCGCTTAGTTCGCTTATGCCTCGGGCCGGCCCTGAATCGGAGTGTCGGCTATGAGAACAGTGAGAGATCTTGTGGCTGGGGGGACGGGTGGGACATGTCCCCATAGATATGTATGCATGTCCCCACCACTTTTTGCCAGGGTCGATTTTGTACCCACCACTTTTGAAACATCTCGCGGCTCCTACTCGAAAGAGAAAAAAAATAATGAATGCGTCATTGTACCCAGCACTTTTGAAAATGCTTTTCCGAATACGTCTCTCCGTCCCCCAGCACATTTCAAACCAAACCAAACTGACGCCCGTACACAAGAGCAGGATAACACTGTCTGTGTGCTCTCGTGTATTAATCGGAGTTTCTGATAGTAAACAGTGAGAGATCGTGTGGCTGGTGTGGCTGGCGCGATGCTTAGAGCCACAAGATCAAATGATAAATAGATAATATCCTGTAGGGGTAAAACTTGCTGGCGAGTGGCGAACATGACTTTTTTGTCAGAAAGATGTCGTTGGTGTAGACACTTGTCAATCAAACATGTCTGACCAACAGAGAAGCACCCGCCCACTGCGGAACGTTTGTGTCAAAATGATTCAATCAAAAAAAAGTTTGAACTTCAAAACTTTTTGCACTTCAAAAAAAAAAAAAGGATTCAATCAAAACAATTTGAAATTCTAAATTTTTTTCACTTCAAATAAAAAACAAAAACAACGAAAACACACATTCTCTTCAATACTTTTTTTATACACGAGGTAAATAATTTTTTTTTTGCTTTTGAAAAGTTTTTTCTTTGATTGAAAATGTTTTTTTTTGATTGAAACAACTTTTTTGGAATTGAATGATTAAGACACAAATGTCCTACCCATGTATGGCCCAAACACAAAAAAGATTACTTCAATCAAAGAGAACATTTTCAATTAAAACAAAAGGTGTTCAAATGCAATTTTTGGAGTCTCAAATATTTTATTTGCATTCAAAAATGATTTTCTATATTTGAAAATGTTTATCTTTTCATTGAAGTGACTTTTGTATTGATTCTGTTGTTTGTTTGTTTGAAGCAACTTCTTTTTTGATTGAATGATAAAGACACAAATGTCCTACCCATTATATGGTCCAATCAAAAAACAATGTTACTTTAATTAAAAAGGTTGCTTTAAACAAAAAAAACGGACTTCTATCAAAGAAAACATTTTCAATCAAAGAAAAGCAGTGTTCAAATGTATTTTTTTGAGTCTCAAATATATTTTTGGATTCAAATACTTTTTTTCTTTGATTGAAAAGTTTTTTTTTCATTGAAGTGAAGGTTTTTTTAATTGAAAATATTTTTTTTGATTGAAGCAACATTTTTTTTTGATTGAATAATAAAGACACAAATCTACCTTCATAAATTTAAAGACGTAACTTTTTTTACCATGTTGACTCTCTGCTAAGTTGCGTCTTTTAATTTACTGCAGTGAAACTACCACAGTTAAAAAATATTTTATTTATATAAAATTAAATCAGTCAACATCGCATGTTTATGTGTGCACCAAACAGGGAAAAACTGTGTTTGGTTATATGACATAAGCAGAAAATTAAGAGTGCTTATCAGTTCAAGTAACAGTGTGTTCAATAATTTCCTCCAACAATGAACCAACAGTGACTGATTAAGTAAGGCACGTGTGATCAGTCGCACATGCAAACCAAACCAGACTGACTGGCCTGCACACACAACCTGGATGACATCTGTATACAGTTTAATAGCCCTCATATCTGTGTGTGTTTGTGAGTGTACCTGATCTAGAGCCTTGAACAGCAGAATGTCCTTGCAGGCCTCCTGTAATCTACAACGCTGCTCGTCTGTTTTTGGATGAACAACTCTCGGCTCAGAGTCTTCCTCATCATCATCAGGGTTAAATGCCTCCGCACACACTATGAAAACAAATGACTATTTAATTACTTAGAAGTCTTCACCAAAGCCACATGCATGTGAATCAAAAAATTTCAAAAAGGGTTATTCGAAAGACCCAAAATGTATCCAATTATACTATTCAAGAAAAAACATTTTATAATAAAAAGAGCTTGATGTATCCAATTTTAAGTATATGGCTATTCACAAAAAAAAAAAAGCTTAAAAATACCGCACTACAGTTAAAATGTTTTTTTGTTTTTTTTTTTCAAAAGAGAGTAGGATTTATTGTAAAGAAATTAATAACTTTATTGAGTAAGACAGTAAAGATATAATATTACAAAATATTTATATTCTAAAGAAAATGCTGTTTTATAAACATTGTATTAAATATGTTTAAAAGAACCCTACAGTTTATCAGTTTATAAAAAAATATTAAGCAGCACAACCATTTTCAACATTAATATAAAAATATATATATTTTAGAATTAGAATAATTTCTGAAGGATCAGGTGACACTGAAGACTGAAAAAAATCAGCTTTGACATCACAGTCAAGTCATCCTCATTCATTCACTTTTAACAATGTCAGAGATAAACTTGGTTTGGTTTTATAGCGGTTCTTCAATAATTTTATTTTCCTGCTAAAGTTAGTTTTGATTGATTCACTTCTGGTGAAATGATGATTTGTTATTAAAATTAGGGGCCTCTAAGACGACATCTTTTTTTTTTTTTTAAGGCTTTAGACGCGAAGCTGTGATAAACGCCGCTTCGCATTGGTTTATTGTGCCATTCAAATGCGCATTAAGCGAAATAGTTAATATTAAAATTTTAATAGAAAGTTAATTTAAGCTATATTTAAAGTAATTTTGAATTGTAATAATATTTGAAAATATACCTATTTTTACTGTATTTATCATCAAATAAATGCAGCCTTGAACAATGTCTTTCAAAAACAATCAAAAAAATAAAATCTTATTGACCCCAAACTTTTGAACAGTAAATATACCGTAAATATACGTATACAGTAAATATAATAGAATATATAAGAAACAACTTGCATTTAATTTTTACAAACAAACAAATAAACAAACTAAATATTTAGTTATCTTAACTATTGAGAAGATGTTTATTTTGTATGGCAAACTTTTTGTAAAACATTTTATTTTCTCTCAAATTTTCCACAAGCCACATAGAACCCCTTTTTGGGCTCTCCAGGGATCCAGTTAAAAACTTCTGCTCTAGAAGCATTTAATTTACAGAGATGACTGAATGGACAATGCTTAACTTCACACTTATGAAAAAAAGAAAGAAAAGTATTCTTCTCCATGCATTAAATATGTCTTTATAGGTAGCATATCTAGACTCCTTCATATGATAATGTGCAAGAGGGGATTTTTTTTACTGGAACACAATTGAAAGGGGCAGAATGAGTGGGCATACTGGTCACATACAGTAATTACAATAAAACAAACACTAGGGGAAATGACGGAAAGGCAGAACACTTATCTGACACTCACACACACACTTTAAACCACATGATTAGTGCAATGACGTCAAACAGAACTCACCCGACACTCTCCGGTTAAATCTGCTGGGGGGAGGAGCTGTGGAGAGAAAGACAGAGAGAGTTAATGACTGTTCAAATTCCCCTATGCTCGCTGAGAACTGCAGACTCTCAGACAATGTTAACGATCAAATTTAGTCTCTAAATTTCACATGTGCCCTTCAGTAACTGTGTGGGCGTGTTAAATATTCAGTAAGGTCAGTAAAAGGCCTGTCCTACAGGCTGTACCAGTTTCAGGAGATTGCAATTATGTGTGTACGATCACAACTGAGTGCACTAGCACGACTCTCAGGAGCCCTGCAGGTCCGCGCACCCCCTCCTCCTTTCCCATGGCACTGTTACAATCCATCACTCCATTAACTCTTTGGTGTAAAATTAGCAATGAGCTAATTTAAAATGAGCTGGTTCTGCTCATAACCTATAGCCAGCTCTATAACAAACATAGATTTTCGCAAACTAAATGTATGATCATATTTAAACGCATTCTTACAGCAATAAACTCAATACATGCTCACGTTAAATGCCACAGAATTATGTGCATTCACACTTAAGCAAGCATTCAGATTTACACCTCTTTGCAAATTACTTAACACTGTGTGTGAGCAATACCAAGATAAGGCGGCTTAATACACAGACTTGTTGTGAGAGCACTCAAAGAAATGAGTGTGTGCATGAGCGCGTGAAGTGTAGTGAGATGGGGTGCTTCAACCTCACGTGTAGGAGATTTCAAGTGGACAAAGTTGCCATGACAACAAAATACAAGGAAGACTATAACAAATATCCCCCCCAAATACACACCCACTCACTCTCTCTTGACAACCAGAGAGAGAGAGAGAAGAAAAGGGAAAGAATATGGGTGAGGGCAATAATATACAAAGTCGGTCCATTTTGAATCTTTAATGCATAATTTACTTTGAAATGAAAGTTGACATTTACTCACCCTCATGTCAGTAGAATTAGTTTGATTTCTCTCTCTCTCACACACACACACACACACACACACACACACACACACACACACACACACACACACACACACACACACACACAACTATTTAAAGCTACACTGTGTAACTCTTTTAGTTTATTCTTAGCTAAAAACACTTAGTTATTTCAAAAATATGTGTGCTCATTAATGTATATTTACTTCGTTCAAGTAATAAAGTATTCTCGTGAGTGTATAATATGCCCTTGAAAATACATATGGGTAAGGGGTTCTAATGTCGGTCGCCATGTTGACGCTCCATCTTGAAAGTACATTAGCCAAAGAGGGACATACCCGTTAATTCAAGCTTCGCCTTTCGCGTTTACGTTTGAGTTAACATTCATGGACGAGGTCGAACTGGAAGCCATGTTAATCTTGGACTACATTGGCCACCGTAGGAGTTAAAACGAAATCGAAATTGAGAGGAACAGAAACTAATATTCACTGGATGGTCATATATCTTTACACCGCTAGATGGGGGTAAAAATCACACAGTGTAGCTTTAAAATAATTTCCCATAATTGATTAACCTCTTAAAAATTACAAAATCATCATGTTCCTTAAAAACCAAACAGTCCTGAAATATATAACATTATTTACTGAAAATCTTTCCCACCAGCATTGTTCTCACATTTCATTTGCAGTTGCATTTTTGCAGTATAGCAGCACACAAATATAGAAGCACACAAGATACACTACAGAGTCTAATATAGCAAGATACACTGAAGTCTAATATAGCATGAGCATCATATAGTGATCCACCGATGTGAAAATTGTGGCCGACACCGATAATAACAAATATTATTATTGCTACCTTAAATTCATTATTTTATTCAGCAAGGATGCAGTAAATAGATCAAAATTGATAGCAAAGACAATTATAAATGATTTTTTAAATGCTGTTCTTTCTATTCATCAAAGAATCTGAAAAATGTATCACAATTTCCACAAAAATATTAAGGAGCTGAATGTTTAAGATAATAAGAATAATAAGATAATAAGATAATAAGAATAATAAGAAATGTTTCTTAAGCAGCAAATCAGAATATTAGATTATGATTTCTGAAGGATCATGTGACACTGGAGAAAATACAGCTTTCCATCACAGGAATAAATTTTAAATATTTAAATTTATTTTGAAATATAATATAAAATAATAATGTTATTAAATTGTAATATTTCACAATATTGCAGTTGTTGAACTGTATTTTTGATCAAATAAATGCTGCCTTGGTGAGCTTTCAAAAACATTAAAAAAAATCTTTAGTCTACTAGTCTACAAAAACAGTAGTCTACATATTCTATATGATTGGAAAAAATTATAATCCATGTGAAAACTTCTACTATAGGACTTTTTCATCCATTTTCAATATGACTGCTTAAAAAAAAGTCAGCAAGTCATATGATTTGAGGTATTACATAATTATAGGGATGCACGATATATCGGCCAGCATATCGGTATCGGCCGATATATGTTCTTTTTAATGTTAACATTATCGGCCTGGTAAGAAAATGTGGCCGATATATTAAAGCCGATAAATAATGTATTATTCCCTTCAGCTGAGACACTTGTTGAGCACTGTTTATGTTTATGAATTTCTTGAAACATGATTGAAATCTCTTCAAAAAATGAAAATACAGTTCGGTACAACATATGCACCACAAATCTGTCATATCGGCAGATTAATTGTGAGACATTAATTGTGAGACTTTTGTTTCTGTAATGAAGCTCTCAAAATTAGATAAAAATTTGGATTTAAGTTTATCGGCAGATATATCGGTTATCGATATCGGCCAAAATTTTCATATCGGTGCATCCCTACATAATTATGTATAAACCAGCCCGTTTTTAATATTTTAGGATTAGAAGTTTGTTTAAATCTGTAAGTTTAAGTATAAGCAATAGTAACTACAAGCAACAGAAACCCGAAATGTGTCCTTTCTTCTTATCTCCCTCCATGTCATTCTAGATATCCACATGCACACACAGTCTTATCACTCTCTCATTGCTGGTAAATATTAGCAAGAGAGAGAGCGAGAAAGAGAGAGAGACTAGTAATTTTAAAAGTAAACAGAATGTGTGACATCTCTGTGACGGTACAGCAAAAATCACTTGTCATGTGAGAGTCAGCAACTAAACTACAAACAGTTCATGCTTTCTCTCTCACGCAACATGCATAAACAACTATTCCAAACTATGATAAAACAAATCAATGCCATTTATTTGTGGGATGGAAAAGCTGATTTTTCAGCAAACACTCCAGTCTTTAGTCACTTTCTGATATTCTGATTAAGTGCTCGAGAAACATGTCTTATAATAATATTATAATATATATAATAGTTAAAAAAAAATAATAATCTAACTCACCCCAAACATTTGAATGGTAGTATATGATATTATTAACATTTATATTATTTGATAAAAAAAAAAAAAAAAAAAAAAAAAAAAAAATCAAACTTTTTAAAAGAAATAAACCCTTTACATTTGCCTATTCAGTGTGTTGTGTAGACATCCGTTTTCTCCATTTTAGGATTTTTCTTGCCTAGCGAGCACTGTGATTGGTGGTCCAGCAGTGAAATTACAGAGAGCTAAACCATAGAAAGTCAATGAGAGATGAATTCACTCTGTTCACTTTGAGGAACACAATCGGGGGAAAAAGCTGATAAAATCAGATAAAAAGCTAGCACTTTTCACTATGGAAACCACAAATTTTGTTAATTTAGCATTGCCAATTTACTATCCATGCTGTTTTCAAGTTCAACTTTTAAGGAAAGCTAATCGGCAAAGGAAGACTTATACCAGAGCTTAATTTTGTGCAGAAAGCTTGAGTTTTTTTAAGCATTTCAACCATAGCAATTATAAGCGATACCCCTGGATGACAGCATCAATCAAGATGCTAAAGCTAAAGCTGCGTTAACACTACAAGGCGTGAACTACACGACATGCAAATTCTGTGCATTTTGGGGCACTTTTTTTTTTTTCATCAAAAGTGTGCCTTCACTTTAAGAAAAAAACGCTCCTGCTTGACGCTCACGCGCTGCTCCCGGTGTGAATGCACTCATTTCTTAACATGCAAGCTGAAAAAAATATGCACCGCTCATGCTTGCGGTGTAATTTAAGGGGTGACACGGCCGTAATTCACTAAGTTTCCTACATGTGCACGTGTGATACTGATGTTCTGCGACGTTAACCATGCAGCGCCTGAGTGGATTTGACCGGCATAAAATCGGCATATGTCAGACTGACCCCCTGACTGATCACGTGAAAAACGTCCGGTTCCGGTCACGCGCCGGTGAATCGGGTCATCTCTAACCATCAGCTAATTTCAAGATCAAAGACCGCAATAGGAGAGAAAGCGGCATGAGCACTGGTAAAATCATTTAGTCTCTATTTTGAATGAGCTTCAGGATGCAAACTTTGTTTCATTTGTGGCAGTTTGTGCGTTGGCTTGCTGAAAAGATATTTGCTCAGCTACTCATTTGCCACAGGTCATATCTGTGGCGACAGAGGTAGAGCTGTCATATCCAGCTACCGTGAGAATTTACATATGTGGCTTCAACAACCAGATGCATTTTTACTTTTTTATGTATCTTATGAAATGAGTTTCAAACCACCTCCTGAAGTGGTTTGAGAGGTTGGATTTAAATCCATCTCGAATAGCTGCCCGATCAGAGGAAACGCATAAAGTGACCAGGTGTAAACAGGCCCTACACACACATTCACAAAAGCACAAGGGAGTAGAAAGCTGCTCGACTAACTAATAAAATCCCAAACAGCTGTACAACTTGTAAACAAGAGGGAAACACTCTCTTCCCTTCCTGCTGTAAGCAATCAATCTTGCTGTCTGAATCCCCCCCCTTCCCTTACTCTCTAAAAACTTTGTCTATCTTTCTCAGTGATCCATTTCTCCCTTTCTCTCTCTTTAGCCCTTATAAGGTAGTGTGGATCTGTCTAACACTGTGCCTGTGGCTTTAACCCCTTACTAACAGCCAGAAGATTACTTGCAGTGAGAGAGCATGCATGACATGATCAACAGAAGCAGACACACTAAAAA